GAAAAGAAACTGTTAGCATATAACTTCCTGTTACATCTAGCCAACTCAACTGTAAATTGATAAGACCACGTCGCCAGTCTTGTACAGCGCTTAAATTTTAAAACTCTAGGTACCTTAGTGAAGAAATCATCCGAACAACTACCATGAAAGTATTTATAGAAAAGACAAAGAAGGGAAAGCTTACTGAAGCCGAGACGCCAGATTAGGACCAGTAATATTGCTGATACTTCCTTGGATTTTATCAAAGAGCTCTAGATAAATAGCTGGAACATCGGACTATATATGACTGCAATATTCTAACCATGGAACAATGGAATGTCTGGCCATGAACATTCATAGACATATTACCTTTTCCCGTAACATCTGGCCTACTAGCACTCAATCCGTACTTTATCTAAGGTATTGTCAAGTAGGAAATCAGTCAGCAGCTCCATGATGGCTCTGATTCATTGAAAACCACCGTTGTGAGTCTAAGCAAGAGTTGATCAAGACCTGCATGAAGAGTCACGTCGAGACTGAAGTACTTTTATTGAACAACACTTTTTTTCTGTTTTTCTAAGTTGCGCATGTGTATACTTTTTAACACACGTTTTTTTCTTCTAATTATTTTTCTTTATATTATAATGTGTCTTCAATTACATGTCGCACCCAGGACATATGTTTGATAAAAAAAAATGGGCTTTCTATCTAGCTACTATACGCTTTCGCATATTTCTTCGCACAGGATTTAACAACCACACCAAATGACACCAGAAAGGAAATAAAGAAAAAAATATTAAGTATCATCCTCAGCTTTAGCAAAAGAAATACCATTGACTTTTCTTGCCGCCTTTTTCTTTTTGTCTGTTGAGGAGGTTTGGCCAAAAATGACATAAATACTTACACGACGAACTTAATCTAATTTAAACATATCTGTGCCACCGCCTTCAGCATGCCGTCAATTATTCTCGGGAAAAGAGCTGTTTACTGCTCTTTTATCCCTAAATAAAAATGCCAGAGTATAAAAACAGCTGCCCTTATTACGGCGATTGTGTAGAGGGGCCGTGGCTGTTATGTTGTTGATAGAAGTCAGACGTAGAAGCAACGCATGTAAGGTTCAGATACTCCTGCCCGCCGGGCCCAACTACATAAAAAGCGTCGGAGTGAACATATGTCGCTTATATAAAACTACCTTCAGGGTAAATGCATAAACTGTGTTATGAAATGTAAAGGAATATCGTGTTTATGATTGGGTTCCATTCCTAAGCTGCATCATTATATTGATCTCAAGAATTTCGGATTCTCAACCTGTATATGAAAAAAAAAAAGAACTCCTGACTACGAATTTTTTTTTTTTTTTTTTTTTTTGCATTTTAAGAAATCACGTTCTATGGGTATATACGCAAAATTTATTAAATTTTCTATAAAACTACTTTCAGGGTGTATGTTATTTATATAGAACTACCTCAAAGGTGTATGTGTAATCTGTGTTATGAAATGTAAAGGGATATTGTGTAGTGGACCGTGGCTGTGATGTTGTTGAGTGGACGTAGGAGAAACACATGTGGGTTCAAATTTTCCTGCTCGCAGGTCCAGCTACATGAGAAAGTTGGACTTTAATTAAGTCCAAAGAAGAAGGCAAAGAAAAACAAACAAAACACAAGACCGATAATATATGTATACAAATATATATATTAATAACAAGTAACATGGAAACAGTTAGAAAGGACAAAGTGTGTATGTGAACATTATATATGTGCGTGTGTGTATGATGCTTAGCGTGTTTCCAGCATTTTGGGAAACGCTATCTCTGGTGAGCGTTCACATCTTCGAGGTAATAAGGCTGAGGAAAAAGAGAGATTTACCTCCAGGTGTCGGCGCAAAGGCCTGAAGGAAAAAAAGAAAGAGGCGAAGGGTCAGCGACTATTTATAGCCAGGGAAGAGAGACCCCTGGTGAAAGGGTTAACGAACTAAAGGAGGAGTTAACTCCGACAATTGTATATATGCTTGGATTCTATTCCCAAGCTGTTTCATTATATAAATGCTATATGCATATTAAATAGCCTGTATTTTAAAATCCCCCCAAATCTGAAAACCGAAGCACTTCAGTCCCAAGAATTTTGGAGAAAGGATTCTCAACATATATATATTTAAAAAAAAAAAAAAAAGAACTCCTAGCTACGAATTTCATTTTATTTTATTTTATTCTATTTTAATTTATTTTTTTTGTTTTGTATTTTAAGAAATCATGTCTTATGAGTATATATTGTTTTGGCATCCGTAAGGGGATCACTATCTTTTTATGAGAATTTGACCGTTACATTGCTCACAGAGCCAGGTATTATTTTATACGTAGTGACAAATTATAGTCATATATTCAAAATATTTCATTCCTTATGTTGTAAATCTAAATTAATTTAATTAAAGACATATTCAGTAAGTTATTTCTCACTTCCCTCATTTATACCAAACATTGAAATAAAAACATTTCATTATCCCTTGTAGAGGGCCGTGGCTCTGATGTTGTGAAGTCAGACGTAGAAGTAACGCAAGTAAGGTTCAGATACTCCTGCCCGCCAGACCCAACTACATAAAAAGGTTGGACTTTGATTAAGTCCAAAGAAGAAGGCAAAGAAAGCAAACAAAACACAAGACCGATAATATATGTATATACAAATATATATTAATAACAAGTTACAATACATGGAAACAGTACAAAGGATGAAGTGTGTGTGAATATTCTGTATGTGCGTGCGTGTGTGAATATTCTGTATGTGCGTGCGTGTGTGTGTATTGTGCTTAGCGTGTTTCCACGCTATCCCTTGTTAGCGCCTACATTTCGAGGTTGATAGCTGAAATCCTGAAGGAAAAAGAGAGATTTACCTCAAGGTGTCGGCGCGCAGGCCTGACGGAAAAAAAGAGAGGCGAAGGATCAGCGGCTATTTATAGCCAGGGAAGAGAGACCCCTGGTGAAAGGGTTAACGGAGTGAAGGGGGAGTTAACTCCGACAATTGGACCAGTTGTAGAAGTATTAAGTTGTGGCTCTGATAATAAATGTTTGTAGACTTATAGATATGAGTTAATGATAATTATAATTGTTATAATTATTTTATTGCAATTATTTTTTACAGTATAATTAATTTTTAGTTGTTTATTTAGTAGCAGTATAAGAATTTTTTTATTCATATATTTCTTTAACACGACACATTAAACAAAATACCAACAACAACAAAAAGTTTTATTTTGCAGGGGAAATAATTATAGTATAAATTTATTGAGTTACCTCCCTTGGATAATTCTTTTTTTACCTTTTTGCTTTTTTATTTAATGGTAGTGATTCTAAAAAAAGATAATTACACTTCTTTGAGAAGACACACAATGAACTCTCAGGCAAGATCGGTGTGTACTATCCCCGAACGCACGACCAGGAGGGCGCAGTCCTGATTAAGGGTCTTGGGCAGTATTTTGTGACCCTTGCTATCTTAACAACGTTTGTTTTGTTTTTTTTTTCTACCTACATTTATGGAGATGTGGGGACGGTCAAGACTCTCAGAATTATGCTAGATGGCAGTTGATCAAAAAGCTTCCCCCGCCCTTTTGACAGGTCTTATTTTTAATCCTGTTGTGTGATACTCTCCACACCCCCACTTTTTTATCCACTGGCTAAGAGAAGGACAGTAAAACCTACAACCATGGGACTGCTGTAGTGGTTATATTACCATTGTTGTTGTGAACGTCGAACGACGAACATCGCGGTCATCATTATTGTAGTGATTGAGTTACCAATATTTAACTTTGGCTTGGAAAGGTGAGATTAAGGACAATGCGTGGACGGAATGCAATTTATATTTGACGTAAATAGCACATAGAATAAAATACAAAACTGAACGGAATGATTTCAAAACATAACAATTAACTTTATTAATGTTTGATATACATGCATACGAACTGAAAAGGTAGGACAGAGAAGTGTCCCTTTGATTAGGTAATAGTTGTACCGGAGTTCATATTAAGAAATAAGTAATATTAAACTTGTAATTTAGAAGAATAAAGTTTGGAATTGTGAATTTTAAAGGTGGTAAAAGTTCAGAAGTGATTTCAGAGTTCGTGAATGTTGGTAATTGTCTTTAACGTCTGACCTCAATGGCTAAGACGGGAGTTCTTGAAGGTTACATCTTGGCACTTGGTAGCAAGGAATGAGACGTGCGAGAGAGATGAATGAAAAGAAAACTCGAGGGAGTTTACACGTGTTGGGTTTTTATAATGGTCGTGAGGCTCCCAGCACATGAGCGGGAAAACAGATTGATCGCGTGAAGGCGGTTTGATTGGTCGGAACTGACCAATCAACAAGCTAGATTGGAGGTGATTGACCAATGAATACTTGTTATATTTGTATGAAAGTAGGATGTTACTTACCAGATAGGAAGAGTGCATTTCCTAAAAAGAGGTAAGGCTGGTATGTTGTGGAAGATCCCACACTGCCATCGTACCAGCTTGCTAAGCCATAAATCGAATCCCGGGTTTAAAGGAGGAAACCAATTCAGCGCACGCAGCACATCACCTAAAGACTCCACTGAACAGTCCTGAGGGAGACGTTCGCGTCCACTACCGATTTCCAAGCCCTGTAGCGAGGGGAAAGTGTCGAAAACGGCAGTCCTAATACCTCCTGCTGGTGGGATGATGTTGACCTGAGGACGACAACATCGTTCGGCAGCACCCTAACTCACCAAGTAGTCTTCTCTAGGGACAGCACTGTTTGTTCCAAATGGAGAGAGGCCTAGAAAAGCTCGTTTCCTTTATCAACCCCAGTTGGCTAACCGTGGTCAACGGACTTCTTCTCATGCGGTCCAACATCAGTAAAGACAAGCTTACAAACCCACCAGCAAGGGTGTCAAAGGACTACATGTAGCATGCTAGAAAATCAGAAACATACTGGACACACCGTACAGTGGTCGTCCAGATCTCTGTGTTCTAATTGCAAACGAATTGTCAAGACTAAATGTTGACATCGCTGCCTTCAGTGATGTTCGCTTCTCAGAGGATGGCAGACTACAAGAGCACGGTGACGGGTATATCATCTATTGGTCAGGCAATTCAGTACCGGGGAGATGGCTTTCTGGCGTACGTTTTATGATCAAGGATTCCATTGCCTCGAAACTTTAAAACCTGCCATCAGGTTATTTTGACCGCATCATTTCTATGCGCCTCCCATTGAGTAATCTTCAATATGCCATACTATTTAGTGTGTACGCCCAAGCAGTACTGTGGAAATGGATAAATTTGATCAGATTTGCGCAGTCTACTATGAAATAAATCTAGAGCGAAAACGAAATTGAGTGATTGGTTTTAATTTCCAAATTCAATAAGTTTTTTCTTTCGCTAAGTAAAATTCTCGTTTCCTTTTTCCTTTGAGTGTTAAGTTTTCTAAACCTTCTTTCCTTATTATGGATTTCGTAAACTTTAACTGTTTCTTTCTGATTCATACTTTTCCCAGCGTCCAGGTCGGTCTGTATTACACTTGCGGGTGCAAGCTTGATTGGGTGACCCAAGAACTACTTTTTGACCTGCTTTATCCTACCAAAATTTGCTTTTTTTCCCGCTTACGTACGTTACAATTTAAACTGAACAAAAGTGGCTATGAAAGATGTGTAAATGTGTGAATTTGTTTTGCTCCTGCTAAGTCTAAAAAACATAATATAAAATTCACTATTTTTTATCCATAATGTTGAATGTGTTAAAATAATTCAAATTCTGACCAAGAAAAGCTCAATTTGATGTTAAAAATTGTTACAAAATATTGTTGATTTATTTAAGATGGAATCATCTACTATGACATGTCTCTAATTTAAGCTAAGAATTGCCACAAAATATTGTTTATTTATTTCAGATGGAATCATCTATTATGACATGTCTCTAATTTGTATTTATATTCACTATTCAAGTTGAATTGTTCACTTTTATTGCACATGATCCATTATAGCACAGTGTAACCCGGATATAAGAAACCCGGATATAAGAGAAACTCGGATATAAGAGAGATTTTCTCTGGTCCCAAATTAGAGCCTGTGTTAATGTATATAAAATAGACCAAACCCGGATATAACAGAAACACGGATATAAGAGACTTCTTCTCCGGTCCTGACAACTCTCTTATATCCGGGTTACACTGTACATAATTAATAGGTTGGGCACCTCGAAGCAATGTAATGATTAACAAACTTATCTCGCTAGGACATTTATGACTGAATAATGAGTTCGATCCTCACTTGGTACCCCATACTTTCGGCCTTGTGCTGTATCTAAGCCACACTTGGTCAATCACTAGTATATAATAAGGTTACAATGAAATTTTTATTTTATATGATTACTACCCTATTAAAATTGAGTTATTGGGCCGTGTCATAGATTCCGTGGGTGGCGCACGAGAACCTTACACCGGCGGTGAATACAAACAATATTACCTTTTACACACACACTCATTTTATATTTTAGAAGATGTTGTATTCCTTCCTCTTTCTTATCCCTTTTATTAAAATTGTTCAAGTGTTCTTGTAAATATTATCTTCCGGACTTTGTCTGTTAAAAAGAAATCTTTGTCCTGATACTTGAGAATTTTATCTAATACGTCTTGTAAAGTATGTCACCAATCGCTCCAGAAATTGAATTATTTCAAAACAGACATCATTCTAATCTTCAAATTTTAATAGACGTCAAGTAGGTATGGCGGCTATCTACGTGTGTATGTTTCAATCATTTGCAAGTGTATGCCCCAAATACTGTATGTTGTCTTTCAAAAAACTGTGTCTTGAAATGGTTAATTTGTTAATAAATGTGCTGGTTCCTCTGTTAGAGAGTAATTTAATGTGTGCATTACACACTGCTTTTAACTTAACTAAATAGTGGAATATTCCGTTTGAATTAGGAGGAAATACGGAAAAATATATATTAGAGAGGTTGGAAAGAAAGAAATCAATCAATCAATCAATCAATCAATAAAGAGAACGGGAGAAACATATGTGAGAAAAGAAAGTAAGAAAAATAAAAGAAAGACAGAAAAATCTATAAAAAGAAAGAGAAAAGTATAAAAAAAAAAAGAAAGAAAGAAAGAATCTGTTAAGAAAGAAAACTGAGCATGTAAAAACGAATAAGAACAAACAATATGTAAGAAATAAAAAAAAATATTTATTAAGAAAGAAAGAACAAAGAACTTTTAAAAATGAAAGAACGAAAAAAGAAAGAAAGAAGAGAAGCAATAAAGAAAGATCTATCCGTAAAGACAAAAGCAATTGTTGTGAAAGAAAAATATACAATCTGAAAAAATTGAAATGTTTGGGAAAGAAAACGTAAAGAAGAAAAAGAAAGAATGAAAGTAAATAATCTGTAAAAATAAAAATTACTGCAAAAGAAACGGACAAAGAATTTGCAAAGAGAAAGAAAGAAAGAAAGAAATGAACAAAGAATTCGTAAAAAGAAAATTAATTAAAAAGACAAATAAAAATCTGTAAAGAAAGAAAGGAAGAAGAAAAATGTAAAGTAGAAAGAAAGAAAGAAAGAAAGTGCAAAGTAGAAAGAAAGAAAATGTAAAGTAGAAAAAAGAAAGAAAGAAAGAAAATGTAAAGTAGAAATAAAGAAAATATAAAGAAAGAAAGAAAGAAAGAAAAGAAAAAGAAAGAAAGAAAGAAAATGTAAAGTAGAAAAAGAGAATCAAACGAAAGAAGAATTCGGGAAAAAGAAAAGAAAATAACTTAAAAAGTAAAGAAGAATCTGTAACGAAAGAAAAAAAAAGAAAGAAAGAAACAGTAAAAATGAAAAGAAAGACCAACCGAGAAAGAAAGAAAGAAAGAAAGAAAGAAAGAAAGAAAATATAAAATATAAAATAGAGAAATAGAAAGGAAGAAAGAAAGAAAGAAAGAAAGAAGCAAGCGAACGAACAAAGAATATGCAAAAAAGAAAAAAAGAAAATTTATTAAAAAGAAAGAAAGAATGAATGAAAAAAGATAGGAAAACGTCATGAAAAGAAATGTTTTCGTTAGTTTTTTATCGATTTTCATAATTTAGTTTTTTTTTTCAATAAACCAACATTTTTCTAATTATTAAATAGTTGAGACAATAAAAGTCAATTTGGCGTAAGAAATGAAAATGTAAAAAAATATGTAGCTCTTACCTGAAAATAGATTAGTATGAGGGTGAGATGCAAAAGCTTTCACGCCCCTTTAGCTAAATTACCTTTGGCATTGTCGAGCTGTTATCAATTATTCAAGGTCTTTTTACGGTCGGTCGGTAAACAATCTCTATAATTTTAGACTTGTGCTTGGTGAAAAGAGAATAATTTCATGAGAGCATTGATTTACTTACAGGCATTTCTTGGGGTAGTTAGTGTCGTCAGAGGCCGGGGTAGGGGCCAGATATTTAAAAGAATACGGATTTTTTTTTTGTTTTTCTTTTGTTTTTTGATAAACAATGCATGGACTCTTAATCTTGATATCCTTTTTGTTTCTTTCTTCCTTCCTTTTTTCTAAATCTTCACTTTTTTTTCTTCAAAACGTTTAATTTCTTCATTTCTTTCCTTTGAAAGATTTTCTCAGTTCTGATCTTTCATTCTTTACAGGCTAATTTCTTTCTTTCTTTCTTCTTCGTCTTCGATATTTATCTTCATTTTTTCTTCTTATTCTTTATTTATATTCGCTTTTCTTTTTCTTACCATTTTTACGATTTTCTTTCCCTTTCTTTCTTTCTTTCTTTCTTTCTTTCTTTCTTTTCTTTTCAGACTATTTTTTCTTTCTTTCTTATCTTTCTTTCTTTATTTTTTTCCAGACTATATACTTTCTTTCTTTCTTTCTTTCTTTTTTTCTTTCTTTCTTTCTTTCTTTCTTTACGGACCGTTTTCTTTTTTCTTTCTTTTTTTCTTTCTTTCTTTCTTTCTTTCTTTCTTTTTTTCTTTCTTTCTTTCTTTCTTTCTTTCCAGACTATTTTCTTTATTTCTTTCTTTCTTTCTTTTTTTCTTTCTTTCTTTCCAGACTATTTTCTTTCTTCCTTCCTTCCTTTCTTTCTTTCTTTCTTTCCAGACTATTTTCTTTCTTTCCTTCCTTTCTTTCTTTCTTTCTTTCTTTCTTTCTTTCTTTCTTTACAGACCGTTTTCTTTCTTCTTTTCTGTCTTTCTTTCTTTATTTTACTCCAGATTTCTTTCTTTCTTTCTTTCTTTCCTTTCTTTCTTTCTTTCTTTCTTTTTTGTCATCCATTCACACAAACATATTAAGTAGATTACCCGCCATTTCTCCCTGCTCCACTTGCTTTCAGTACATCCTACGGGTTTTTAATTTCCTAGGCCTTCTTTCCTCGTTATGTATCCCAGGAATTGAATTTGTCTCTTACTGATTGGTAGTCTCAGTTTCCTAGTAGTTTTCTTCTTTTTTCCCCTTAAAGAATTGTTGCTAAGATTTTCGGTCCACCATATTCTCAACAGTGCACTACCAATTCTTCATCTTCAATATTCCCTGTCCCTTCAGGACGTGGACGATTATGACTCTCTAGAACTTCCTGTCCTTTGTTACGCTTAGTAAGTTTTCTTCTTGTTCAGTCATTCATTTACGCAAGCACTTTATGCAGGGGTCAGGCGCTGCTTTCCTCCGTCTCTTTTGCGTTCAGCCTGCCCTGTGAGTGTCAAATTCTCCAAGCCCTCGTTTTTCATTATGAACCCGAGTCTCTTTCTGATTCGGCGTATAAATGTCTTTTTTGTTTCCATTTTCTCTACAACACTCTACAACTTTATCGTCGCTCCCTTGTTCAGTCCATGGTATTCTCAGCATCTTTCTGTAGAACGACATTCCTATTGCTTCAAGGCTTTTCTTCATCTGTGAAGAGCATTCCCTGTCGTTTAGATTTTGTAAGGTGTCTTTCACTATCCCTATGCATCTTCTGATTTTGATGTCGCCTTTTTTGTCCTATCTTAAAACGCTTCCTAGATATGTGAATATTTGTTGATTGTTTGTTTGGCTGCCCCTTTTGTTAACAACCATCCATTCTTACAATTGACAGACGTTGCGAATCCTTTATCCGAAATCCTTGGGAACGAAAAGACTTCGGTTTTCAGATTTTAAAATACAGGCTATTTAATTTGTATAGAGCATCTATAAAATCAGGCAGCTTGGGAATAGAACCCGAGCCTAAACATGACATCCCTTTATATTTCATAACAAAGCTTATACCGGTTGTAACAGCAAATAGTGAAAGAAAAAGAAGAAAATGTGACATATTTAACGAGATATATGACAGAAGAGGGTGTCGGAGTTAACTCCTCCTTCACTCCGTTAGCCCTTTCACCAGGGGTCTCTCTTCCCTGGCTATAAATAGCCGCTGACCCTTCGCCTCTATCTCTTTTTCCTTCAGGATTTCAGCTATCAACCTCGAAATGTAGGCGCTAACAAGGGATAGCGTGGAAACACGCTAAGCACAATATACACACACGCACACACATACAGAATATTCACACACGCACGCACATACAGAATATTTACACACACACTTCGTCCTTTGTACTGTTTCCATGTATTGTAACTTGTTATTAATATATATTTGTATATACATATATTATCGGTCTTGTGTTTTGTTTGCTTTCTTTGCCTTCTTCTTTGGACTTAATCAAAGTCCAACCTTTTTATGTAGTTGGGCCCGGCGAGCAGGAGTATCTGAACCTTACTTGCGTTTCTTCTACGTCTGACTTCACAACATCAGAGCCACGGCCCCTCTACAAGGGATAATGAAATGTTTTTATTTCAATGTTTGGTATAAATGAGGGAAGTGAGAAATAACTTACTGAATGTGTCTTTAATTAAATTAATTTAGATTTACAACATAAGGAATGAAATATTTTGAATATATGACTATAATTTGTCACTACGTATAAAATAATACCTGGCTGTGTGGGCAATGTAGCGGTCAAATTCTCATAAAAAGATAGTGATCCCCTTACGGAAGCCAAAACAAATATACTCATAAGACGTGATTTCTTAAAATACAAAACAAAAAAATAAATTAAAATAGAATAAAATAAAATAAAATGAAATTCGTAGCTAGGAGTTCTTTTTTTTTTTAAATATATATGTTGAGAGTCCTTTCTCCAAAATTCTTGGGACTGAAGTGCTTCGGTTTTCAGATTTTGGGGGATTTTAAAATACAGGCTATTTAATATGCATATAGCATTTATATAATGAAACAGCTTGGGAATAGAATACAAGCATATATACAATTGTCGGAGTTAACTCCTCCTTTAGTTCGTTAACCCTTTCACCAGGGGTCTCTCTTCCCTGGCTATAAATAGTCGCTGACCCTTCGCCTCTTTCTTTTTTTCCCTCAGGCCTTTGCGCCGACACCTGGAGGTAAATCTCTCTTTTTCCTCAGCCTTATTACCTCGAAGATGTGAACGCTCACCAGAGATAGCGTTTCCCAAAATGCTGGAAACACGCTAAGCATCATACACACACGCACACGCACATATATAATATTCACATACACACTTTGTCCTTTCTAACTGTTTCCGTGTTACTTGTTATTAATATATATATTTGTATACATATATTATCGGTCTTGTGTTTTGTTTGTTTTTCTTTGCCTTCTTCTTTGGACTTAATTAAAGTCCAACTTTCTCATGTAGCTGGACCTGCGAGCAGGAAAATTTGAACCCACATGTGTTTCTCCTACGTCCACTCAACAACATCACAGCCACGGTCCACTACACAATATCCCTAAATTCGTATTCAGGAGTTCTTTTTTTTCATATACAGGTTGAGAATCCGAAATTCTTGAGATCAATATAATGATGTAGCTTAGGAATGGAACCCAATCATAAACACGATATTCCTTTACATTTCATAACACAGTTTATGCATTTACCCTGAAGGTAATTTTATATAAGCGACATATGTTCACTCCGACGCTGACGAATCGACTCCATCAATAAACGAACGAGATAATCATTTTTTTATTCTGTGCAGTGTTTTTCCATTTCATCACTTTCGGCATAAGACAATTTCTCCTTTTTTTTCGCCTTAGGTCGTCTATGGTGGTTATTCCAAAGCTAAACTCGTCAGTCAGGCGCTTCACTCTTACACCCCTGTCAAGTTTTTCCAACAGTTTGAATTACTGTGATATTGATATTGGTAGTTTCATTATATAAGCGACATATGTTGATTCCGATGTTGACGAATACACTCCATCAATACACGATCGAGATCATCATTTTTTACTCTGTGAACTGTTTTACAATTTTTTTTTTTTTTTTTTTTTTTTAAGCATTACGCCCCGAGCAAGGCGTGAAGCTACTAGGATGCAGGGGGTTGCAGAAGATTTGGAGCAAGAGCAGATAGGAGTGATAGAAGAAAGGATGAGGAGAGGGATAGTGGATAGATCAAGGTAACTGGAGATATTGATTGACATTACATTTGAATAGTTGGAGATTATAGCTCTCAGGGAAACAGTAATAGGGAAAGGTGTTCCACAGGCAAGAGGTGCGAGAGGGGCATAATAATAATAATGGGGTCAAAGTGCGAAGGCTCTGACTGAGTAATTTGGTGTTAGAACAACCACCGTATTCGACTGAAGAAAACAGAAAGAGAATCACCATAGAGATCATTCCCTGAACCCCCCCCCCGCCCCGCCCCATTAGAATGTCTGAATCTCTGCGTTTGCTCGGTCTCACGTTGACTGCTGACCTGAGATGGAACAAATACATTGAGTCAATTGCTTCTTCCACCGCGAGGAAAGTTGGCTCTCTGTGCCGCGCCAGGAAAATTTTCTCCCCGGAATCGATACTTCAAATATACAAATCAACCATTCGCCCTTGCATGGAGTATTGCTGCCATATATGGTCTGGTGCACCTTCTGTTCACCTCGGAGTTCTTGACAAGATCCAGAGACGGATATGTAATATAATTGGCCCTGATCTGGCATCTCGTCTACAGTCACTCTCTCACAGACGCGCCGTCGCGTCTCTCTGTCTGTTTTACAAATACTTTCATGGTAATTGTCCGATGAGCTGCTTTCACTGGTTCCCAGACTTCATGAATTCAAGCGCCCTACGAGGCTGGCATCCCGCTCCCACCCTTACACTGTAGAAACTTTTAAATGTAGGCGTCTCTTCTACTCCAATAGCAGCTTGGGAATAGAACCCAAGCATAAACACGATATCCCTTTACATTTCATAACACAGCTTATACATACACCTTTGAGGAAGTTTTATATAAGCGACATATGTTCACTCCGACACTGACGAATCTATTCCATCAATACACGAACGAAATAATCATTATTTTGCTCTGTGACGTGTTTTTCTATTTCATCATTTTCAGCATAAGATTTTAGCAATTTCTCCTTCTGTTTCCTTAGGGTGAATATGGTGGCTACTGCAACACCAAACTCCTCTGTCAGGCGCTTTATACTTACACCCATGTCTAGTTTTTCAAACAGTTTGAATTACTGTGATATTGATAAATATAAATGCTTTCTTTTTTTTCTTTTCAATTTCCATATTAGTATCTGCAGGACTTTTTGTATAATATCTTTACTGAGCACGAAATGCCTGATAAGTCCGTCCTGGGTATGACGATAAACTACATCTGCGGCCTGGGTAAGACGATAAACTACATACGACAGCAAGACCTCTGATCAGGAAGCTTTGAGGAGCGTGGAACCACCGCTCTTAAATGCTGGTGTTCCCAGGTCCACTCTGGCCAGGGGTGGTAGCACCTGTCAGGATCCCAGCTATGGGTAAATAGTTAACCACCAAAATGGGATCAAAACACTAGGAAAGTGTAAAAAAGGTTTTAATACCAGAAATACTTTGTAAAAAAAATTACTACCAGCAATAGATTTTGGAAAAAAAATGTATTACCAGGAATAGATTTTTGAAAAAAAAATATTATCGACAATACATTTTTGAATAAAAAAATATTACCAGGAATTCCATTTAAAAAAAAAATTGCCAACGATACATTTTTGAAGAAAAAATATTACCAGCAATAAAAATTTTGTCGACATTAAATAACCCATTGAGGTTGATAGGCCGTAAAACAAAATAAACCAAACCAATATATACTGAGATAGATAGATAGATAAAAATATTATGAGCAATAAAAATTTTGTCGACATTAGATAAACCATTGAGGTTGATATCCCGTAAAACAAACCAAACTAAACGAAACCATGCCTGGTCAGTAATCCGCGAACGAATATGTTGCTATGACGATTGCTAGCTAAAAACTG